GATGTAAAGTCTGACAATAAAGTTTGATTGATTGATTGATTGATTGATTGATTGATTGATTGATTGATTGATTGATTGATTATCATCTGCTTGTTTTTATATTTTAAACATTGTATGACACTTGGGTAAAAGACAGTTATAAAAACTCCTATTGATATGGTGCATTTAAAACAAAAACTGACTGATTATTTGAATAGTCAATCAAAACTATCATTACAACTACTAATCCTGCTACTGCTAATGCTACTACTATTACTACTAATAATAGCAATTATAATAGAGGTTTTCTCTCATTTTATAAATCCATCCTTCAACTGGTTACATCGTACTTAACATGTTGTTTTTCAAGCAAAAAAGACCACCACAGCCTTCGTTATCAGGATTTTATACTTTCAGTGGTCCTTCAGTGAGGACTGAGCTTGGCAAAAATGTTTTCTCGTTTTTTGGCCCCTCCACCCGGAACAAGCTTCAGCAGGACCTGAAGCTCTCCAACTTGGTCACACTTGGGGAGTTTAAGATTTTACTAAACAGATTTGAAATTTTGTCTGTACGCACCTGTACCTGTTCTCAATGAAAACCCTTTTTTGATGATGTATGCATTGATTTTTATAAGTGCTAAGTAAATTTTATTATTATTGTTTTTATGCTACTTTGTTGTGGTGGATGTAACAGGTCTCTCTTGTAAATGAGACAGAGTCTCAAGAAATCTTCCTGCATAAATGAAGGATAAATAAATAAAATAAATAAAAAATTTATTAGTGTTTTAGCATATATTTTTAAAATGGTTCACATGTTGTTAAATAAAAAAAGAATATATTAAGATAAGATAAGATAAGATAAGATAAGATAAGATTTTATTGATCCCACTGTGGGTAAGGTTCACATTACTGCAGCTCAAAGATAAATAAAAGAAAAAGGAAAAAGACTATTCACATATAATAAATAACTGGTGATATAAAGAAAAAATATATGATTTATATTTTTTATTAATACTTTATAATCTATTTATAGCTGGATGATGTGTGGCTGTTCTAAACCTCCATGGAGAGTTTTGAGCAGGCAGCATGTAGACTCCAATCCCCACAATGCACCGCGCTCTTTACGTCTCTGGCTGCGTGCCCTCGTAGAGCAGGAGACATTGCACTGTCCATCGTGCAGCCGGCCTCGGCGTTAGTCAGAGGTAAGTTTGCATTACTTGTTTTAAACGAGTTCTCCCACAAAATAGTGACTCGAAACCACAAAGCCCATGTTCGGTCCGACGTTTGAACAGATCAAACGCGTCACCCGCTGAATAAATTAGCTGCTCTCCCGGGTATTTGGGGTAAATGTCGGGCACGCCTATGTCTGAGTTTAGCTACTGCGGGACTCCAGAGCTGTGAGCGCGGGCCCCGCAGGAGGCACCAGCACGTAGAAGGAGATGGGTATTTTTAGCAACTGGACAAACCAACGCCCGCCTGTCAGCCACTCCACGCTTGGAAACATCAATTCCCGTGACGTTTAGCATTAGCACGGGGCTAGCTGGACCACCCCCAAACAAATTAGCTCACAAGCTAGCAGCGGCTACAGAAGAACTTTACTGTTACGCGGCTTATTTTCCCGCTTCTCACTTTAAAGTTTTAACTGTGTTTCTCCGGGTCTGACATGTTTGTGTCCTGTAGTTAAATCACAGGGTTCGGGGGACTAATAATAACCATGTTTAGCGCGCTCAGATTGTTCTAGCAGCAACCGTAGCGTCAGGAGAGGTCACGTGACCGGGGCTGTCAGAGTCCCGTTAAAACCGAGCTCAGAAAAACAGGCGCACTAAACATTTATTAGTTCTCTTGGTTTTACTTCAGAAACATTAATTGATTTAGTCATTCTAAAAAATAAGAATTATTTGTGTGAATGTGTTTTTCGTTACTTTTACGTAAAATGTGTTTTTGTTCATGTTAATTTAAAATCTAAAATGCATGCTGCTGTTCTGAAACAATTTCACTTGTTCTTAAAGGGGCAATATTATATGTTTCTCAGGCATACATTTAAATACTATACCATAATAAAGTATCTATGTCACCTTTAGTTATTATTAAAATGTTATTTTTATGTTTTAATAGAAAATAAACTTATCTTCTCATCACTTCCTCTTCTAAACGCCTTGAAATTGGCCTCTGTCTCTTTAAGAACCTCCTTCCGCTTCTGTCCCGTCCATTTCGGTGCATGGGGGGGTCACGCGTGCGCTATGATGCAGTTTACTTGGCATCTGAAAATACATTTCCTCAAAGGTATTTTGAATCGGAACAGAGCTTCACTGAGTGAGCAGTTGACAGCCTAAAGGGCTCGACACACAGGAGGCGACGTCGCTCGCTCTCCATTCATTTCCTATGGAGCCTGTGCCGTGAGGCGACAATCCCTTGCCCTCCTCCAGCTAAGCGACCGGCGAAAATAGTACATGTGAAATTTCGCGCTCGTACACGTAGACGTGCACACGCGAGCTTGCGACGCGACGTATGAAAGTTGAAAAATGTTCAACTTTTGTCGCTGTCGCTTAGCGTACAA